CCTTAAGCAGCCCGGTAGCTCCCTGAACCTGATGGTTCACTGTACTACTACTGGACATATGATCAGTTTTACCTAATACAGCTCAGCACTTCTGAATTCAAGTGGTCCAACAGCTTCTGCCTCTTGAGCACCAGGAGCTGCAGGTGTGTGTCACCATACCTGGTCTGAGGTTTACTTTCAATAATAATAGCTAATATTTTTATAAATATTCAAGTTTTGCAAAACACTTTTCATACATGTTTGACCATCATAACAACCCTGTAAGTTAGGAGTAATAATAATAATAATAATAACATTTATATGTCTTACCATGTGCCAGACGTATGAAGTGCTTTACAACCATTATCTCATTTGATCATCACAACAACCTTGAGAATTAGGGGCTATTATCCCCATTTTACCGATGTGGATCTGAGGCTGAAAATAATGAAATGACTTGATCAATGTGTCTAAGACAGGCCTGAAACTCAGTTCTTTCTGACTCCAAATCCAGTATGCTATCTACTATGTCGCATAGCCACTGCATATTATTCTAAGAAGATATATGTTACTGTTAATGTTTTTTATGCTGTAATCCATACTGAATTTCCCATAGGGATAAAGAAAAACCATTCCATGGCTGCCTACCATCAATACATATTTTGTTCAATGTCTGCTATTCACCAGAAATGATGCTCTTCACCTCTTCTATTTACAATCTGTATCCTGTTGGGAAAATCATTTTCTAACACTTGTTATCCTCATTTGTAAAATGGAAAAGTTGGATTAGATCCTAAGATCATAGATTTGGAGTGAAAAAGGGACCTTAGAGGCCATTGAGTCTAATGTCCTAATTTTACAGATGAGGAAAGTAAGGCTCAGAGAGGTTAAGTGACTTTCCCAGACTCATTTGGCTAGTAAGTTTTTGAGGTAGGATCAAGTCCAGCATTCTATCCACTATGCCATACAGGTACCTTTAAATCTATGATCCTCTGACCACCATGGTCATCCTGGTCTTGTGGTCCATATGTAGGTAGGCTATGAAACAGCCCAGAAAATAGTCTCTTGATTGAATGCAAGCTCCTTGAGGTCAGGACCTGATTTATTTTTGTCTTTGTATCTCCAGCATCTAGCACAATGTATGGTCCATAGCAAATGTTTAATAAATATCTGTTTAATGAATAAATTGATGCTAATTGATGAAGGTATGCAAAGCACTTAGAGAAAATAAGAGCTGTCCTCCAGTTTAAAATTTCTATGGGGCACATCTCCAAGTCAGGAGAGTCAGGAGACTTGAGCCTAATATGAAGAGGAAAAAAAATTATCAGTGAATTGGAAGGATTTATTAGTGAAGTAAATCAGAGATTGCGTTTTAGGAGAAGAAATTTAACAAACAACAATTTGGATAATCAGTCCAGATCAAGAAAAATAAGGAGGTAATAGAAGAATAAGGAGGAACAAGGAAGATTAGAAGTAGAAGTTGAAGATGAAGACTCATGAAGGATAAGGAGCAAGTAGTTGGCAAGACAAGGTAAGGTAAAGAAAGGTAAATAGAACAATTAACTATTTTTCAGTTGTATCTGACTCTTCATGACCCTATTTGGGGTTTTACTGGCAAAGATACTGGAGTGTTTTGTCATTTCCTTATCCAGGTCTTTTTTACAGATGAGGAAACTGAGTCAAACAGGGTTAAGTGACTTGCCCAGGGTCACAGAGCTACTGAGGCTGGATTTGTGTCTGAGGCTGGATTTAAACTCAAGAAGATGAGTTTTTCTAACTCCAGCCCCACCACTGTATTCACTGTACCACCTATCTGCCCATCGAATAATTAAAAGGTTAGGCAAATTGATATAGTAGATTCATAAGTGAGTCAAATAGGTGTAATATACAGAAGCCTGCTGGAAGGCTTAAAGGGAGGTGGGTATAGCTGTGGCTTTGGGGTTGTGAAGACAAAGGGAAAAAATTTGAGTGGAGTTGTCAAATGATTTAGAAGTGATAATTAGCTGAAAAAACAAAACCTTTTATGAAGGTTTAGGAATGAACTGTAAAAACCTAGGAGTAGTTTCAAGAAATAAGGCTGAAAATCTCAACCATTATGAAGAGTTAAATTATGCAGTGATTTTCCTGGATCGTGAGATATTTTTGTTTCTGCCACCTGTGAGTGACTCTTATCTGCATTTCAAGAATAGGTTAATCTCCCTCTTGAAGGAGGATGCAAAGGGATTACAGTATGTTCAGAAATAGATTCAAGTCTTCAACACGAAAAAAGGGGGACCCTAAGGAGGGGAAAAAAGTTTTGTCAGGATGATGGAAAATGGAAGTGTGACATAAAAGAGGAAAGTGAGGAAAAGGCCACCTGTACAATTAAAGCTAAGAAACAGTCTTGAGGCCTTTTCTGAGGAAGAGAGATCTGGATGCTCTAAGGAAAAAGAAACCTCTTGTCCTCCCAGGTCAGATACAATAGAGCTGCAGAACTTATTGGGTGAGAGATTTTCCAGCGTTGGGCATAGGGAAGAAGAAAAAAACAATAATATTGGTGATTCCCTGCTGATGGGTACTGAAGCAGCTATTTGTTAACTTTGATAACCATAGAAAAGTTTATCTTCCTGAGGCATGTATCCAAGATGCAACAGAAAACTTCTCAAGATGTCTATTCACTTCTGGTGCTCCAAAAGCATTATGAAGTCTAGGGTAAGAAAATGAAGACCATAGGGACAAAGGATGTGTTTTCTTCACTGTTGTCTATTGAAGGTAAGGCATCTAGAAGAGAAAGTTTAATCTGGGAAGTGAAGAGCTGGTTAAGAAAGTGGTATCTGAGGATGGGATTTGGATTTTTGGAAGGGAAGAAGCCAACAGGCACTTATGAAGTACTGTGCTAAGTGCTTCAGAAATATTTTATGATTTGATCATCATAACAACCTTTAGAAGTAGGTACTACTGGGCAGCTGCATGGTGTGGTGAATAGATGACTAGCCCTGGAGTCAGGAGGACCTGAGTTCAAGTCTAGCCTCAGACATGTGACACTAGTTGTGTGACCCTAGGCAAGTCACTTAACCCCATTGCCTCACCAAATAAAATAAAATAAAATAAAGTAGGTACTACCATTATCCCTATTTTACAATTGAGGAAGCTGAGACAAACAGAAGCTAAGTGACTTGCCCAAAGCCACATAGCTAGTAAGTGTCTAGGGCTGGATTTGAACTCAGGTCTTCCTAACTCCAGGTCCAGCTCTCTAATCACTGTGACACTTGATGACACTATATAGAGTTGACAGATTCTTGGCCAGAGATAGAATACACTTAACAAACACTGATAAATCCCTGCATCACTTTGAAAACCTTAGAGATGACAAGACACCAAAGAATGATTATTTCTCATGGGCTATTGTGCCTCTTCCCCAGCTTTGTACATGGCCCCTGAGAAATCTCCAAAATCATCAGTGAGATAGACTTCAAAGAAAGTCAGAAATTACAAAACCACTGAAAATTTTAATTTTTTATAAGTCAATAGCATCTTTAAGTTCACAGAACAAAACTATTTATCAAAACCTATGGTGCCAAGAAGTCTTAGTACATTTGCAATACCAATAGCTCACATTATGAGCTATGAATGATTTGTAAAACTTGATTTTCAGTAGACAGTAATTCCTCTAAAGTTCAAGGGGTTCTTAACTTGGGATCTATGAACTTTTTAATCTTTTGACAACTGTATTTTAATAAAGTTGATTTTCTTTGTACTCCTATGTACTAGTTTTATACATTTAAAAAAAAATTAGTCTGAGAAAGGGTCCATAGGTTTCACCAGGCTGCCAAAAGGACTGTGAGACGAAAAAAAAATGTTAAGAACCCTTTCTTTAAACATTATATTACAAGAATAGTGAGGTAACAACAATAATAGAAGCTTAATACTTGTTTTTAAAAAATTGAATTGAATTTAAAATTATTGGAAACAGACTAGTTTCCAAGTAGGATGAAAGTTTTGAGATGAAACCTGGGATGGGGAACAAAAGCCAGAAGCAATCAGCCCCATGCTTCTTGCAGTGGTGGACAATGGAGGAAAGTGGTTTGTTTCTTTATACCAGATGGGCAGTAGATACAAAAGGCTCTCTAGAGATTTATATACTCCTCCCTTCAGCGTTCCCCCCATTTCTCCCTTTCTGCCCCAGCCCCAGATCTATTGTCCTTCTTTAGACCACAGCCTGCCTCTTATTCTCATCCCTTGTCCCAAGGGGAGGGGAAAGAATTATGCAGGAGGAGAGATAGGTAGTGCAGGCTTGAGTGCCTCTAGCAGAAGTGGGTTGGCCCCTAGTAGGGCTCTTAGCAACGTCTCTGGTCTGACCCTCCCCATACATGAGAAAATCAAATCAGTGTATCGTTCTCCAGATCACCATGCAGTATCAGAAGCACAGCATACAGCCAGTCTCCTGCTCTGCCTGTTAGTGACCAGCTCCTTTAGATCCTATGGTTTCAGGCTTCCCAAAGAGCGACTGAAGTGGGTGGGAAACACCACCAAATCTCCCCTGGTAGCTGGCTTCCACTGAAGTTTCACTGAGCTTCCATGTACGGTATCGGTATCGGTCGGTATCTCTCTCCTCTCTCTCTCTCTCTCTCTCTCTCTCTCTCTCCTCCTCATCTCTCTCTCTCTCTCTCTCTCTCTCTCCCCCCCCCCTTCTCCTCCCCCCACCCCCCACCCCCGACAAACTGGGGCTGTTCAGCTTTCTGGATTTCTTGAGGAATGGATTAAAGCTCCATCCGAATATTGTTACATTTTCCTTTTCTGGATCAAGAGAAGCCCTGCTCACTCTCTCGATTTAAAATGCACCCCCCCTTCCCCTCCCCCCCAACCTCCCTCCCCCGTTTCTACGTGCTCTGCTGTTACTGCCCCTGCAGCTGCAGCTGAGACTCCTTACATTTTCTTCCTGGCCCTTTAAACCGAAGGCACCGCTGCATTTCTTCTGGGATCTGGTGGAGGCGGCTGCTGCTATTGTTTGAATGACGGCTGTGTTATCTCTTCTCTTCCAGAGATGGCTAACAGGGGACCAAGCTATGGTTTAAGCCGGGAGGTGCAGGAAAAGATAGAACAGAAGTATGATCAGGACTTGGAGAATAGACTAGTGGACTGGATTATTCTGCAGTGTGGAGAGGACTTAGAGCACCCACCCCCTGGCCGGACCAATTTTCAGAACTGGTTAATGGATGGAACGGTAAGTATTGATTGAGCTTTTGTTTCTGGTGGCCGAGGTAAATTGGCATACTAGAAACGCATCTCTCCGCTATCCTCTATAGACAGGCTGCTGGTTTGTGTTGCTAGGCTGGTTCTATCATTCAAGGATTAACAATCTCCTGGTCTCTCCATGTTCCACACTGTCCCGCCTGGACAACTCCCTTTCTAGCTAGCTTGGTGGGCTTCCATGCCTCCCAGGCATTTCTGATGACTTTGGAGGAAATTTCAGACAATTTGAAACCGACTCATCCTCTCTTAAAACAGACAATAGTTCCTTTTCACCCTCACTGTTTTTTGTTTTTGTTTCTTTTAAATCCTCTACCACCATCAGCCACCTATGGTCTATTAATTTATTTCAGAATCTTTTTGTTTGTTTTGTTTTTGTTTTTTTGTTTTCCCCCTAGTTGGTTTCCGTCTGGTGTTGTGGTGCTCCTATTGCTTTGTTAAGGAGACCAGAGCTGAAACTCTGTGAAGCCCAAGGAGATCATTATTTAATGATTGTTTTTCAACCAGATGCTTTCAGGGAGATAGAGTGCTGCCTACATGAGCTTGTGGCTCAAGCAATCCTACCAGCCCTGCCCTCATGCTGTGATTTACTGTTACGTAATATTTAGCATATGCTTTCACTTCATTTTCTTGGTTTGGACTTTTTGTAGGGGTGTGTGTGTGTGTGTGTATGTGTGTGTGTGTTTTCCTATGGAGGAGAATTAAGTAAATTTTCTAATTCAGTTCTTTGTCATAGCAATAGCATGTGCTTGGTTGATCATCAAGCTTAATATCAGTTTTTTGGATAGAAATTTTTAAAAAATGAATAAGTAGATGATAAATGTTACTGAAATAACTTCCCTGCAGCAGCTATCCCCAGGAATTAATTGCTCATCAACACTATCTTATGAAGTTTGGGTCCTGGTTTCCCCAGTTGTAAATAGACTTCCTTTTTCAGAGAGGTTAGGTGGCTTGTTTGTGATTGCACAGCAAATCATTTGCAGCTTTGGGAACAGGAGTAATGTCATTTCATTTTCTTGTGTAAAGTGCCACACCTTTCCCTGCCCAGGCAATATTGCCCATTGTGCAAGTTGCATGGATTAGGACTTGCTTTTTCTTTTAGTGACCTGTAACTAACAATATTAAACAGACTCTTTGCTCCCTCTTTCCTTTTTCAGGTGCTGTGCAAGCTGATAAATAGTTTACATCCAACAGGACAAGAGCCAATCCCAAAGATCTCAGAGTCAAAAATGGCATTCAAGCAGATGGAGCAAATCTCTCAATTTTTAAAGGCTGCTGAAATCTATGGAGTCAGGACCACAGATATTTTTCAGACTGTGGATCTATGGGAAGGTAAACAAATGAAGTGTTTGTGGGCAAACAACTGATGTGTGTATTAACAAAAGAAATTTCCTTCCTCTCTCCCCTTCTTTCCTTCCTTCTTCCTTCTCTTTCTCCCTTCCTTTTCTTCCTTCCTTCCTTCCTTCCTTTACCCTTCCTTCTCTCTTTTCTTCTCTCTCATCTTTTTCTTTCCATTCTTCCATTTTTAACTCTCTTGTCTTTGTCTCTGTGTGTTGTGTCTGTCTCTTTCTCGCCTTTTCTCACTTGATTCTTTTCTCTACCCAGAGACATCTTCTAGTGCCATTATCCCAATTGCCTGTCAGTTTTCTGTTATCATAATGCTCTGTCAATGGTATGTTGGATCCCTTTTGTGGTAGAGGTCTCACATTGAGGATATCCTGGAACATTTTCAATTTGACAAGTAACCAAAAGGCATCGTTTGGAAGAAAAAATATTCACTAAATGTATTTTATTTCACTTGCCTCACCCACAACATACTTTCCCCAAACAAATATCAGCTAATAGAAAAGTGGTGTGGGGAAGAGCATACACTTTCCATTATTAATGCAAAAATGATTTTTTTTTTAGTTTTTGTCACAAAATCTGGGAAGTGGATGATAACCCTAACTTGTAGTTAATAGTTACTTAGGATTCACTACATCCTCCACATACGTATCTGGTTTTGTTGCCTATGCTTCCTATAAAGCCTGCTTGAATCACTAAGAGATAGACAATGGCTACCAAATCAACTGTTCTTTCATCTGTTTATTGTTATTGGCCGTCTCAAAAGGCCCATTGGAGCAAATCAATGATGCAGTGATCCGAATGGGTTGTTATCACATGGGGCTAACTGGTGAGAACAGTGTTTTCTCTCTATTAGACATAATAGTATTTTACATGGCAAAAAGAGCCAGCCTTCCAGCTAATGTCACCTTAGATTGAACTGGTACTAGTACCTTCCTGCTAAGAAACCTAACTTATGAAAAATGATTTGTACCATTATTCTTGACAATACCTCTATGAAAAAGAGACAGAGGAGGCATTGTTACCTTCCTGAAAAAGAAATGAGCAGCTGAGATTCACAGTATGGCACAATCATCATAGAACTGAGAGATTCATGGGATGATAGCTTTGACAGCCGGAAGGGACGTCAGAGACCATCAAGTCCTATCTCCTTTTTTTTGCCAATGAGGAAAATGAGGCCCAGAGACATTAAGTGGCTTGCCCAAGGTCACACAGGAAAGAAGTGAAAATATCAGGATTTGAATCAGCTCCCCTAATCTCAAAGTGAGTACTTCTGCTGTGCCACCGTGGCAAAGAAGGGATCTTTGAGGCTATTAAGGGCACCCAATATCTAAGCCCTTATTACCCAAACCTTTTAAAGCACAGATGATAGGATGATAGATGAGGAGCTAGAGGGAACTTAAAGACCAACTGCTCTAATCCCCTAATTTTATGATAAGAAAACTGAGGGCCAGGGAAGTTAAGTGACTTGTCCAAGATGACATAGGTAGTAGGCATCAGAAGTGAGATTTGAACTCATGTCCTTTGATTTCAGAGGCAGTGCTCATTCTAGCCTTCATACAAATCCTCTGGACTATGATATATTTTAACACAAAGTCACCATGCAAAGTCAGGTCCTAGATTTAGGTTATGGGCTTCCATTAATTAAATATAATGATAATGATGATACCAAGTAGTCATTATGTGTTCCATTCTTTGCAGATGCTCAGCTTTCTTTAGCTATTTAAAAACTGCTATTAATATTAACTACTTTAGGCAGAAAGCATGACTAAGTTTGGATACTGCCCAGGACAGAGTAAGCCAGCACAGAGGCCTTGGTTTTTTTTCACTGGAAACTGACACAAATTAAGGTACAGAGAATACAGAAGAGGGCACTTGGAGGGAGGACGGATGGTGGCAGGTGGTCTGTAAAGACTATGTTTGCATGTTATTTTCTATAGCTTTCTTTTTTTTTTGTCTAGGCTTGGGGTTAAGTGACTTGCCCAGGGTCACACAGCTAGTAAGTGTCAAGTGTTTGGTCTGAGGCTGGATTCGAACTCAGGTCCTTCTGACTTCAGGACCGGTGCTCTATCCACTGCGCTGCCTACCGCCCGAAATATAGCTTTTTTAAGCACCTGAAAAAGGAATTAAATTAATTAAATTAAATGCCTTACAAATCTTTGTCGATGGCTATTATCAATCCCTTTTGATGACATCATCGAAAAAAAATGTGTGATCAGAAAAGGATGTGGGCCAGTCATATTCTATCAGAGAGGGAAAAGGGATAACTTGGGGCTATATGTGACACCTGAGAAATACAGAATGATCCAAAAGTCTTGCAGTTTAAAGCTTTGATAACTTGAGAAGACCAAGAGGAAGGCTTCTAGCACATTGGATAGCACCCCTTTGAAAGATCTACTGGGAAAATGGATTAGAATTACACAGAGTAAAAGACCATCAAGCAACTGTGATCTGCAATGATAGAGGGAATAGTCATATTAATGAGATCAGAGATTTATTGAAGTCCTTTTTTTAAAAAAAAAACACCTTAGCAACCAGGCGGTGCAGTAGATAGAGGGCCAGGCCTGGAATCAGGAAGACCTGAGTTCAAATCTGGTCTCAGACACTTACTAGTTCCATGACCCTGGGCAAGTCACTTAATCTTGCTTGCCTCAATTTTTTCATCTGTAAAATGAATTGAAGAAGGAAATGGCAAACCACTGCAATATCTCTGCCAAAAAAACTCAAAATGGGGTCACAAAGAGTTGGACATGACTGACAGCAAGAGCTAGAGCTAGAAGGGACCTTAGAAGCCATTTATTTCATTTTCATTTCATAGACGAGGACACTGAGACCTAGAGAATCAAGTTCTCAATCCAGGTTCTCTGTCTCCAAATCTCCCAGGATTTCCATTGCATCATACTGCTTCCTTGATTGATTTTACTATTGTTCCTGCCCTTTTAATGGGTAGAACCAACAAAGGTAGACTCGTTCTCTACTACTGCTCTTGCTATACGTTTTGAAGTCTTTCTTAAGGTAGGTGAGGCTAATGGGACCTAGAACTCAGACTAGCAAATAAGATAGTAGCAAGAAAGGGAACATTAAACAAAAGAGAGAAAAAATGGAGCCAGAGAGATCCAGAATATAGAATTGCAGAGCCCCAGAATCTCAGAGGTGGAAATGGCCTCAGACACCATCTTGTTCATCCTGTACCTGAACAGGAATCCTCTTGACAGCCTGTTTGTAGTCTCCCAGCCTGTTTGAAGACCACCAGTGAGGGAATTCACTACTTCCTAGGAAGCCTGTTCCATTTTATTAGCTCTAATCATTAGGAGATATTCCCTTATGCTAAGCCTAAATCTTCCTATAACTTCCATTCATCATTCCTAATTTCATTTCCTGAACAAATCTAATTCCTCTTTCATGTAACAGCCTTTTAAATCCTTGAAGACAGCTGTTATACTACACCTAGGCATCTCTGCTCCAGACTAACCTTCCCCAATTCCTTCTACTGATTATTACAAGGCGTAGTTTCCATTGTCTTCACCATCCTGATCACGCTTCTCTAGAAGGACTCCAGCTTGTCAACATTGCTGCCTTTGTCTTTAGGTGTCCATCTCTTTTAAAATGTATTCTCAGTAATAGGAGAGGTGAAGAGAGGGTGGAAAGATACTAGTGGGAGGTAAGAAGTAAAAGCCTGCTTCAAGGGCTATGCCTGAAGAAGTTCTCTCAGTTAATGAGTTGAAATGGAGAAGAGGAGGCAAAATCAGCGTCAGAATGTGTGTCTGATTATGGTGGAGGGTATAAGGGTGCAACCGAGGTCCAAATGAATGATTGCCATAGACATCCGCCATGGGACTGAATTACATGAGAAATGGACAAGAGGCTGCCATGGGGCCACTGAGGGATAGTGGAAGGGCCACTGACTCTGGAGGGAGAGGAAGCAAATTCAAAATCTGGTTGTACCACTTATTAGTTCTGTGACTTAGGGCAATTGATTTAATCTCTGGGGGGCTCAGTTTTCCCCTCTATAAAATGGAGATGAACCAGTTTCCTCATCTAAAAGTAGGCATGAAAATAATGTCTGTATTCCCTGCTTCATAGTATTGTGGAGAACAAAGAAGATGACAGATTGAAAGATAGCATGGTACCTTGGAGAAAGCACTGAGTTTAGAATCAGATTTAGCCTTGAATCCTGGCTTTTCTACTTTATTCCCTGTGTTTTCTTGGGCAAGTTATTTCACCTCTCTGGGCCCCAATTTTCTCATCTGTAAATGAAAAGGTTGGACTGGATGATCTTTCTATTCCTCAGATAGATCTTTTTGGTTGATTAGTTGTATCCAACTTTTCATGACCCCATTTGGGGTTTTCTTCGCAAAGATACAGGAGTGGTTTGCCATTTCCTTCTCCAACTCATTTTATAGAGGAATAAACTAAGGAAAACAGGGTTAAGTGACTTATCCAGGGTCACACAGCTAGTATAAGTGTCTGAGGCTGGATTTGAACTCATGTCTTCCTGATTCCATGGCCAACACTCTATCCACTGCACCAAAATCTGTGTTCCTATGTAAAATGCTTTTGCAAAGTGTATTTAAATGTCATCAGTTGTTAGTATTTGAACTATGGCTTCTTAATCCTGGGTAAAGATGATGGAAATCAGAAGGCTTATGGATGTCACCCCCTGGAGCTCAAGCCAGGGCTGTTGATTATGCCATTGGCAGGAAGAAGGGAGGGCTCTGGGGAGAGGAGAGGGCAATCTGGAGGGTGAAGAGCAGAGGAGACAGGATGGAGCCTCAGGTGAAATGCCCAGAGAGCAGTGAGTAAAGGGAGAGAGATGACTCAGAGCTGGCACAGCCATGACTGATGAAGCCCAGGAAGCAGGAGCAGGAGCCGGGCCAGGCATCATGAGGAGGCATCTGTTTAGAGGAACAGCTGAACAGGTGGAGGAGAATCACTGAGGCGTAAAAGCTCTCAGCTTAGAGAGAGGATGTCAGGACAGGATTACAAGG